AGGTGGGGGTTGGAGGACAAGATCTGCAGCCGTTGGGCAGGCTCCCCCGTCGCACACGGCGTCTCGAGCCCGTTTTTGCCCTCATAGCGGTGGGGCATTGGGCTGACTCTGACCTGCCGTCGCTGGTGTTCTGAAAGGGACGGTCTGCTCGGAGGTGCCGGGCCCGAAGGCCTGGTCAGAGCTCTGCGTCTTCCTCCTCGCTGTTTTTTTTACCTCTGCAAACTCCCAGGCTGCTTTGCCTTGCGTGAAAAATGTTGGCCTCGAGTCTCTTGACAGTTGTACTGTTAAAGAGTCGTAGTTAGGTTACACTCCGTAGGATGCTTCTCTCCTTGGACAGCTGTATCTATGCATGTCTTAAGAGTCTGCTTAAGGTGTTTGGAGAAGGGCTCCTTCCCTAATGTTTCGCCTGCTTCTTGGTCAATCACTTGTGGCATAAGCAAAGGACTGCCTTCCTTTAATAGGGGAGTCTAAAAATTGAGAAGTCTGCAAATTTTTGCTCCTCTCACCTGCTCACTGATTGAATTCTGTTTGCCTTACCATCTTGAGCCTTCCGCACTTACCTGACGTTTTGTTGGACTAGCTTTGGAGGCAGTGGCTGGCTAAACTAGACAGATTCCTTACCCCTGGCTTGCACAGCTTTAGGGTGTGCATTAGGAATTTGCTACTAGTAATTAGCTGGGGGAGTTATCCAGCGAATCAGATCGTTAGGAATCATAAGCCTTTATGATAAGACTGTCAGGTTAGGCAACGCAACTTCAGCTTTAAGATAGGATGTGGATTTATGCCAGAGACTTAAAATGCAAGACAAATAACCTGCATATGCAGTGTCATTCATGTCATTCATTTCTGAAGTGCCTTCTACAAGCTTGCCCAAAAGAGAAACATGAATTTGGAAAGCAGCACATAAAGTGTCACTGAATTTCTTACCAAACCTAATTCTTAAGCAGACTCCAACTGAAAGTATTGTTCAACTTACCTAACCCCCAGGATGTGCTTGCTGTTGTAAGTGTAAACTTTAAAATTTTGCCAGAGTTACGTGTTAGTTTAGGGAGACGCAGGCAGCAGGTTCCTAATTTGGGATATATTTTGCTGCCTATGCCGATAGTTTCTTTGACTTGCAGCTGCTTCTGTGTGAGAAACGCATGCACGGAGGATATGTCCTCACCATCTATCCCCTCCAATGGAGGTGACAGCAGGTGCTTTCCTCCTTTTCTGTTCAGCGCTGTTTGAGGTAAAAGGGACGTGACTGGCCTCTGTGGCAGCACTGAGAAAGTGCACTCACTGCTTGAGATGTATTTCCATCAAGGGGCAAGAATACTCATTCAGTGATTTGGGTAGGTGGATATCATCTGGCTTGCACTTGACAAAAACTGAGTAGGCAAATTCAGACTTTAATAGAGTATGTAAGGCATGTAGGGAGTTTAAAAACACTTGTCTAACCGTGACTGTCTACAAATCTACTTCACAGACCATAGCATCTGACAGGAAAAAATTTCGTGTGATTCCTTAATTCTAAAAGGATCCGTTTAATTCTGCTGCTTTAGTTGACTCCTCCTCCAGATAGGATGACTTGGCTCTGTCTATATGCACATTAAGAAACTGAGGCCTGTTTTTGTGAGACAGGGCGTTCCTGATGTCCCTTTATCTCTGATAACTGCCCTTAGTTTGCATCTGTCCTGTTCCTAGATGGAGTAACTTCAGTGTTGGCCTTCAAGATAAGGACACAACTAGCACAGTGGCAGAAGCGTAAAGATTTTTTTAAATGTATGTGAAAAACTAACTAGCTGAATCCATAACGTTCCTTGCAGTCAGCTAGCTTTGCATGCTGGGAGGAAGATCCAACATAGAGTTCTAATTGGTGTTGATACGCTCTAACCCAAATAACTGAAGCTGAATGTATTTTGAAAATTAGATGCCGAAGCAAATTCGGCATCAGCAACACTTCAGTATCGAGAATGAAGTAAAATCACTAAGACCTGGGAACAAAATATGCACCGTTTATTAAGTCAAGAGTATATTGCTTCAAACCATCAGGAAAATTCTGGTTTTAACGGATGTTAGCAGACCAGATTGACTTGTCTAGGTATGTCAGTTCTCCCACCTTTTGTCTGTCTTAGTAAGCATGGAGTTCAGGGTAGAAATCATCTCCTCTTTAAGGTACTGGGTTTATACAGTGGGATTTTGGCCTGTTGGGTGTCTAAACCCTTCTGTAGCACAAACAGTAATGATCTGTGTTCTCATGAACTTTGCATTTCCAGGAGAGGTATTCCTCTTTCTCCCTCTGAACACTTCCAGTCCTTTCTTCCTACCCCATCACTCGGTTCTCCCCAAATCATCTTCAAACTAGTTACCGTAGCATGCGTCAACAAAAAACTTTTTTGTTGTGCTTCCACAGATGATGCTGCTCCTTCTAAACAAAGGCATTTGAAAGAAAGAAACTAGGGGGGAAAGAAAAGGGTCTTGGGCTGTTCGTGTGCACCGAAAAATAAAGTGCCACTTAGCTGGGCTGTACACTTCAATCCCATGCATCTGCTATTTGATCTTGTCCAAAACTGACCTTGACTACATGTGAGAGTTGTTACATAAACAAATAAAACCAGAAGTTGCATAGCAGTGATTGTGGCTCTAGAGAGTTGTAACAGATAATCCTCCCTTCTGTAAAACTACTTGGGCAGTCTGCCCTTGCAGCACTGAGTGGACGGAGGGAAGAGAACGGTGGTTATACCGTCAAATGCTCGTGAGCAAATTATGAGAGACAACAGGAGGGTTTTAGATAGATGGGTTTTGTGGGTTTTAAGTAAAAATAAATAACTCTTCAGCAGTTCTGTAAGTCTTTTCCAGAAGTGACTGATGGAAGAGTTGAATAGAATGTGAAGATGTTTTATTTTAACTGTTAAGGTCGTGCTTTGACCCAGGTTTTGCCAGTCAGTTGACACTCTGCTCTTCCTTATGTTTTGTGGATTTAAAAGCTGGTTTTACTAATTGTAAAATTAGATGACATCTTTTTCTTCCCACTCTCCCAGGCCATAGGATAATTTTTTCTGGAGATGGGGTTTTTCCTGTATTGAGACACAAGCCTTGGCTTTTTGTTGTTCGTGGCTCCTAGGATGCTGTGTGCTTTCAAAGGCTGTAGTGTCTCAGTTGAAGGACTCTTCTCTCTGAGTACAGTGACATAGCAAACTTGAACTTTTCTGTATGTCCCTTTCCTATAGGATAGGCAAACCAAGAGGTAGGTAAACAGTGGCCTCACAAGCACCCTGCTTAATTCTTTTTTGTAATGCTGGTAGATCTTGCTGCTGTGGAGAAAACCTACCTCTTATCTCTTTAGCATCATCCATATTGCTTTGGTCTTAAAATCAAGAGTGGATAATACAGGACTTGGAAAATTAATTTGCTTGCTATTACTTCCCTTGAATGAAGCATATGAGCAAATTTGTTTAGGATTTATTTCAAAAAATATTGAAGTCGATGTGATTTGTATTTACAGCGATAACTCATTAAAAATAAACTTATGCAGTATGACTTTCCTCATTCAAAAGATAACCTTTTAATTCTGCTATGCCAGTAGGTATACAGCTCTGCATAGTTTATCTTATCCCATGATTGTAAATAATAGGGTATTTGAACGTATTGGACAGCAGAGGTAGGTATGAAGTTGGATGGATAGTAATTTTAATTTTGAACATAATTTCCTAGCTTACGTGGTCACCAGAGTTACGGGGGATAGCAGGGAGGAATGGGCAGGCAGATAATATTATACGGTTTTGACAGAGGGGTAGAAATCACAGAATTTATGGATGTTATATGAAAGTTGTCAAGTAGAAAGATGCTATTGGAAAGATCCTATAGGCATCCTATTCAGATGCCTCTGAAAAAACAGCTGCAACTTAAATT